ATGGAGCCGATGTCCATCAGTGGCTATTAGCCACAAGGTATAGATAGGGACTCTGGGGCAGGGGATGCTCTGTCTTCTTGGTGCTTGGGGGGGGTCCACAGTGGGAGGGCTTCTAGTACCTCCTGATGGCCCCTGGTATTTCTGGCCACTGTGTGACACAGAATGTTGGACTGGATGGGCCTTTGGCCTGATCCAACATTGGCGTCTCTTATGTCCTTATGAGTGCTTAGTTCTCGTGGCCCTCTCTTACATGGGGGGAGGGGGGTAGATGTACATTCCCTGCATTGTGCAGGGGGTTGGACTAGATGACCCTGGAGATCCCATCCAACTCTTTGATTCTATGATTCAAACTCTTTTTCTAGTTTTTCGATCAAAAGCTCCGGGGGGGGGGGGGGGGCATCGACCTGTGTGTATTCTTAAAATCACAAGGCTTCATGCTGCCCATGTTAATAGGTAGGATGTAGGCAATAATCTGCAGTTACATAGCCTATATATGTTTTCAAATAACCCCACCAAGGGGGAGTCGGTCACTGCGTGGGGGAGGAGTGCCGGCAGCGGTGGGCCCCTGGGACGTGGCTCCTTCTCCGCTGGCGGGGGTCGGATGCAGCTCAGCTGCCCATCCTATAAAAACAGGCCACGCAAAACTCACGCTCGCTTTCTCGCGGCGGGGGGAACGTAAGAAGCCTGAACTGTAACGCTCTTTTTGCCACGTGGCAAATGGCGGTCGCCAGGAAGGGAGGCAGAACGGCGAGCGGGCCGCCCTCGTGGCAGTGAGTTCCGCCGGAGGAGCGCGGGGGGGGTGGGTGTCGTGGTCTCCTCACCCGCTCGGCGTAGCCGCGCATCTCGTCGGCGCGCGCGTAGATGGTCTCGATCCGCTCGTGGCGCACCAGGGCCGTGACGAGGTTGCGCAGGAGGTCGAGGCGGTTGCGGGGGCCGCGGCCCAGCCGCCGGAAGACCCGCCCGTGCGAGATCCAGGCCGCCGCCGAGAGCCTCATGATGGCCGAGGGGGACGGACGGACGGACGGACGGACGGAGGAGCCCGGCGGCGGCCGACTCC